TGAATTGCTCAATAAGGATTCGTCTATAAATTACGTCACGCTATAAGGGGGAGGGGGTTGGTAGTTTTGTGACGACTCATACAAAACTTGCTTTTTAAGTGTTACAATTTTGTGACGAGGGGAAGGGGGGAGGTTAAAATCTGTCAAAAAATGCATGACGTAATTTATGGACGATCCATAAGATCTGCCCTTTTGCGGCGTTCTTCAAGAGTTGTTAAACCGAGCCGCTGGAGTCCATCTTCATAGGACAGGTGTTTAATAGTCAAAATTGTTTTTGTTGCACTTTGTTGGACTTGCTCGAGAATGGCAATGTTTAATTTTAAATTCAGGTTTTCCGACATTTTTAAATGCCAATTTAAAAATGTCGAAATTTAAAGATTCAGATATTCTGGCATTTAAAAATGTCCGAAAATCTGAAGTTGTAAATCTTCAAACATTTAGTTAAAACAAAACGTGTTAAATATGTCTTTTAGACGTATCAAACGTTTTTTATACATCAAAAAGATAATTAAATGTTTGCTGAAAAACGTTATTTAACAAAACCATTACATCATTGTACTACGTCATTGTGCTATAGCTAATTCTTCAAAAAACCATATCAAAGCAAAAAAATCTTTTGTTGTTGTTTTTTTGCAAGTCATCGCGATTATGTTAATTTACCAGAAAAAAGAAAAAAAGTGAATCGATTAAATAAAAAAAAAGCAAAGTAATCATGACTAAGGGTTTACATAGTTATATAAAAGGCTCTTATAAAATGAAGCAAAATATAACAACTAAGTTAGGTTCGACTTTGTCTGCTGGAGAATAAGTTTAAAGATGTCTTTATTTGAAAAAGAAGTACACGTGAAAGTTTATTATGTCGAGAATCAACATAATAATGAAATTCGAAAGTTTTTCAGTAGAAAATCGAATGGCTGCTAATTACAAATACATTTTGGATAAGATCCGCCAAGTATTTACAAATTTGTATGAAAAAGATCTTGATTTGTTTTATAAAGGTATAGCTGTTTTTAAACTGAAGTAGATAAATTCAATTTAACGCAGATATAATATCATAACGTTTATATGCGATATATGCAACATAAATGTTTTTGATAAGTTTTTGTGCTAAATGTAGACACTTTTATAATAATGTTATATTTTTATAAAATAAAAATAAAAAAATTGTATCCTGAATCAATTTTGCTTTAAACCAAAGTTTAATGAAAACAATTCTATATAAAATTACTATATAATAATTAAATAGGATTTTTGTATACACACATCAATAAAATTTGTAAATAGATTTCATTTTTTAAAAATCATATTTTCTTTAAATTGTTTTTTGGCGAATTTAGATGAAGAAAATGATTTCATTTCAATCTCCTCTGATATTGAATTCCAGCAAGCCTTTGAGAGCATCAACAATGGTTGCCTTAAGCTCTATGTAAAAAGTAAAGAAATTTGTTATGATTTTTCAAAATTTATTACAAACCATATTTTTATATGTAAAAGTACTTTGAAAAAAAAATCATCTTTTTTTTTAGAGAAATTGACAAAGCCAGCTCAATCAAATAAAGAACATATTGGAGTTAGTTGTGATGGATGTAATTCTAAGATATATGGAAATCGCTTCAAATGCACTCAATGTTTTGACTTTGATTTGTGCTCATTATGCTACAAAAAAGGAGAGCACCCATCAGACCATGAAATGCTGGTTATCAAAGAACCTCGATCTTCTAAGCATATGTATTACAGTCAGCTTCCGTTTTCACATTGCTGGGAAAGATATGCGCATATGAACACGAACAATTCTTGTTCTAATAAAAATGCAAGCAATAATGAAGAAAATAAACCTACTGCATCTGATCAAAAGTTTGATAGTTTTCAATTTGAAAAAATGAATAATTTCAAAGAAATAATCAAAATATTTGAATCAATGCTGGGTATTAACAATGACTTCTTTATGAAAAGTTGTCAAGAAAAGTCTGATAAAGTTGAGAATAAAGAAGATTTTAGTAAAAAGTTAGATAGTTTAACAAAAGTTATAAATGAGAGGTTTGGGGTACCTGCTGAACAAATGCATACTTTGGTTGATTGTTTTATAAAACAGTGCAATCTTAAAAGCAATGAAAGAAATAGTGATAAAGATATAAATAGTTCAAACAATGAAGTATTCAGAAATAACGGAGACATGAACCAGGCTAATTTTCCAGATAAAAAAGATGTATCATTAGAAAACCAGCTCATCAATAAAGACAAGGATCTTGTAAATCCTTCAAACTCATTGTGTCAGACTAATGTTGAATCCGTACCACATCTAGATCCAAACAATGTTTCTGAAGTTATAAAAGAACAAATAAATCCGCTTGAGTCTTTGTGTCAACAAACCTCTGAGTTGCAGGTTGATAGTTCACAAGAGGGGCTTGGGAATTTTATAGGACGCTTATTTAGCCACCTTGTAACTCAAAAAGTAAGTGTATTTATGTGCTTTTGTTTCATTTTATTGTAATATATTTTATTTGTAAAATTATGCTCTTTTGCTTTAATTTTAGTCTTTTAAAGTGTTTACATTTAAAAACAATTTAAATTTAGTAAATTAATTATTTTTTAAAAATCTCTAGCCACCAATAAACATAGCCAATGATTTTGAACTTGTTGATAAAGAAAGTAAAGATCATGAAGAATCAAAGCTTGAAAGATCTCTTAGACAAATGGAAGCGATGGGTTTTGAGAATGAAGGCGGGTGGTTGCGTCAGTTGTTAATTTCTAAAGATTGTAACATTGATAAAGTGCTTGATGCTTTAAGTCCTGCCAAATAGTTTCAATGTTTATGTTTAATCATAGTTTATATGTATTTTTATTTTGAAGTATAAGTTGTATTTTAAAGTTTTAATATTATTCTAATACTCAATGGTCTTTATGTTAACCGCATTTTTTGAAAGTTTTTTAACTTTTATTTATAAATTATGATTTTAAAAGCTATATTATTTATACTTACCAATTTATTTTAATTTTTAATGTTTTATAAACTTATTTAAAGTTCCTAATCTATGTACATAATTATTTTTTTTAAAAAAAGATTAACTTCTTTAATTATAATGCAAGTTATTTATTTAAAATTAATCTTTTTTTTTAATGTTAATATTTTTTTAAGTAATATTGTTGTAAGTAGGTTGTATTTTTTGGTAAATCTTTATTTTATTATTTAGATTTGTAATTTCTTTTATGAGTGAATTTAAATCATCGATCTAATTACTAAGAAAAATACCTGAATCCTAATGTTTATTTTAATTGTTTTTTTAAATTTATTTTGTTGGAGAGTTAATTTAAGATTAAGTATTTCAATTAAATTTTACAGGTTCAGACAATGTAAGTGTTTCTTATTTTATCAGTTTTTGAGGTTTAGCTTCCACATTAGTTAAGAATTTACTCATTTGTATAAAAGTAAATTTAAGCCAGGATAAATTTAAAAAAAGTATAGAAAAAAATATTTTAGCAGTTTGCAGGTTTTAACTTTTTTAAATTTTCAGCGTCAATTTCGAAACAAAGCTTGATAGAGCGTTTTTTTTCCCGCCGACAATATTTTTCTATTAGTCTAAAAAATTTTATCCAACTTGACATAAAAATAAAACAAACTATTGTAAAAATAATCTTTAAAGTAAAGAAAAATACAAAAATTTAAATTATATAAAATTAACTTAATTTAAGTATGCTAATATAAATTTAAGCGTAAATATGAATTAAATATATATATATATATATATATATATATATATATATATATATATATATATATATATATATATATATATATATACATATATATATATATATATATATATATATATATATATATATATATATATATATATATATATATATATATATATATATATGTATGTATAGCATGCAAATTCCTAACTAAAAAAGTAAACGAACTCTCAAAAACTACTGATTAAACTTTTCAATAAAATCTGTAATTTTTATATTTTTATAACTAATCTCTAGAAAATTTACCCGTATTTATCGTATCGTATTTAATGATTGTCAAACATAGAAAACACCATAGAAAATTGATATTGTTGTCAAAAACATTAACAAATATTATCTTGGTTTTAATAACATCTTATAAGTTTACTCAAGGTTCAGTAGTCTAAAAAAGTCATTGGCAATCGAGCTACTAATTGTTGCTGGAATGCCACAAATCTTTTCAAGTAATGAAAATAACACCCGCAATTCATCCGGATTCTCCAGGTCAAAAATGTAAAATGTTGCCAGAAGAAGCAATACCACCTCGGGAAAAGAATCAGTATCTTCAACTAATATAGCATTTAAATCAACTTTAATGTATACTGCTGATCCTCGTATAAAAATCAATGGCTGTTTGCACCCATCTAGATTTAAGACTTCAATAGCAGCATCAACTGTCATATTCTAGAAAAAAGTAATATTCGGTTTAATTTTAACCCTAACGTTTAGGATAACTTAATGCATTCGGTCTTTTGTTGTATCTAATCTATTTGAATTTCTACATTAATTTAGATAATTATTTGGAACTTAATGAAGCTACTGTACTGATGTTTGCTTTTATAATTCTGCCAAATTCAAAATGAAGTTATATCAGACTAGATGCGACATAAGAGCGTTAGTAAAAAGTTATAATAAAAATATTTGATAGGATATTTTATAAAACCGCAAGAAAATCCTATAAAAAAGAGAATTCCCTGACTTTTACAAGTCATATCAATTAAGTTATAAGTTTCACAAGTTTTCCAAATTTTCGTATAGTTTTTGGAAAAATGTCACTATTTTACAGGATTTTTGCGAATTTTTATTATTGCTTTATAAATTGTTTTAGACCTATTTATCAAATTGCTGTGTGCATCAATAGATAAAACTTTTTTTATTTCAAAAAGTATTGCTTTTTGTTGTCTTTTTTTTTTGTTCAAAAACTTTATTTTGATTTAATTAACTTTAACCTTTTTTAAAAATAACATCACAGTTCTATCACAAACTAATTAATGATTTAATAAATTTATTTAAAAAAAAAAAATTCATTAGAAGAGAAGCTATGTGAACTACTAAAAGTTGACAGATTGCCTCAAGATTTAGTAACCAAACTATAAGGTATTTGTATATAAATTTTAGTGTTTATGAATATTTTATAATTCAAAAACTCAGATTGCAGTAATGTGAGTTGTAATACTTTTGTCCTCTGCTCCTGGTATGTTTTTATAATTTTAGTATTTGTGATCAATTTAAGGAAATGTAATATTTATATTCTAAATTTGATCTAGAAGAAGCAATGGATCTCAATTTCTTTCTACTAGTAAATGAAAATGATTTGGTTGAATTAGGTTTTAAAATGGGACAGAGAAAACTTATTAAGTAATGGTTGCAGTCATGTGCAGTTGTACCTGTAATTGGGATTTTACAGCATCAAGCTGAAACGTTACATGAATTGTCACCAGTGCTAAACTTACTAGCTTCACCAATTCATAGAAATACTCCAATTCCACCCTCTAGTAATGCATAAACTTTTTTATTCAAAATATGTGCTTAAGAGAGAATTTGTTACTATATAATCTATCATATGCTTTTTAAATTAAACAGGTATATCCTGTAAACAAGGTACTCTGTAAGTATGGCAACAGTTCCGCAAGTGTTCACGGCCCAACACTTGCGACAAAGTTGTTAAGCGGTGAAATATATTGAACACAAGAAAGACACTTTTTAGTGCGAAATTTAGGCCGATATCTTATGGAGGTTGCAAAAGTGTAAGTAAATTTGTATCAGTATTTTGTCTTTTTTGTATTTAGTTATATGTTTATTAAAGGATATGCCCTCAAAGAAGGAAAAATTAGCTATGGCTATTTCAATAGTGACAGTTTTCCCTTGTCTAAAAAGTAAATTTACGGAATCTGGTCACGTAAGTATTTTGGGATTTATTAGGTTGTTTCATTAAATGTGAATTATTCTATGCGTTTACAAACTTTTGTATTTTCTGTAAAAGAAAATGTGTTTTATAGATTTAGGAGCATATTTATTGTGGAAAATCTCACACTGGCCACATTGATATTTATGTTAGACAACGACGTTATGTTAGTCCAAAAACTATAAAAAACTTGTGAAACTTATAACTTAATTGATATGACTTGTAAAAGTCAGGGAATTCTCTTTTTTATAGGATTTTCTTGCGGTTTTATTAAATATCCTATCAAATATTTTTATTATAACTTTTTACTAACGCTCTTATGTCGCATCTAATCTGATATAACTTCATTTTGAATTTGGCAGAATCATAAAAGCAAACATCAGTACAGTAGCTTCATTAAGTTCCAAATAATTATCTAAATTAATGTAGAAATTCAAATAGATTAGACACAACAAAAGACCGAATGCATTAAGTTATCCTAAACGTTAGGGTTAAAATTAAACCGAATATTACTTTTTTCTAGAATATGACAGTTGATGCTGCTATTGAAGTCTTAAATCTAGATGGGTGCAAACAGCCATTGATTTTTATACTAGGATCAGCAGTATACATTAAAGTTGATTTAAATGCTATATTAGTTGAAGATACTGATTCTTTTCCCGAGGTGGTATTGCTTCTTCTGGCAACATTTTACATTTTTGACCTGGAGTATCCGAATGAATTGCGGGTGTTAATTTCATTACTTGAAAAGATTTGTGGCATTCCAGCAACAATTAGTAGCTCGATTGCCAATGACTTTTTTAGACTACTGAACCTTGAGTAAACTTATAAGATGTTATTAAAACCAAGGTAATATTTGTTAATGTTTTTGACAACAATATCAATTTTCTATGGTGTTTTCTATGTTTGACACTCTTTAAATACGATACGATAAATACGGGTAAATTTTCTAGAGATTAGTTATAAAAATATAAAAATTATAGATTTTATTGAAAAGTTTAATCAGTAGTTTTTGAGAGTTCGTTTACTTTTTTAGTTAGGAATTTGCATGCTAGTATATTCATACATACATACATATATATATATATATATATATATATATATATATATATATATATATATATATATATATATATATATATACAGGGCCGCCAAGAGGGAGGGGCAATTGAAGTAGTTTGCCCCGGGCATCACAGTCCATAGGGCATTACATACGCGAAAATTATTGAAATGATAAAAAATTTAAAGTTTAAGCAAACTTTGTGTAATAATTTCGTTCTCCTTATAAATTTTGTTTGCATTTAAAGTATATTAATTATTACTTTACAAGGTTTGTAAAGTAATAATTAACGCGTTTCTATTCATAGATATATAAGTTATATAATTTATACATAATATATATAAAAGGTATATAATTTATACATCTATGTTTTTATTGGCCTTTTGTTTGCGTAATAAAGTAAAGATTTTTTTCTTATTAGTTCTTTTGAGTTCGACACAAAAAATTGTTGTGGTCAAGGCTACGACAATAGCGCTAATATAGCAGCTATTTACAATAGAGTTAAAGCTTTGATTAGGCAGAATAACCAACAAATAATTTTCATTCCTTGCTCTACTCACTGTTGCAGTGTCGCGCTGTCACTGTCACTCAGTGTTGCACTGTCACTATTGCAGTACAAGCTATTGAATCATCGGTTTCTGCAAAATCCTATTTTGAAAAAATTCAAAAGCTATTCAAGCTGTTCAGCTGCAGCCCGGTTTGTAGAAAAATTCTTCAGTAGAAAATAGGCCAATCATAAAACAAACTTTCTGTTACACAATGGAGCTTAAGGGTTGAAGCAGTCAAGCCGCTAGCATAAAAGCAAAAAAGATCTTGAAATTATTACATCGTCCAAAAGGTTAAACTTTCTAATTAAAAGTAGTAATGAAGTGAATTGTCTATTTAAATAAAAAAATGCATTTAAATTTTTTTGCTTTCACTACTTCCTGGTTTACATGTTTGATGGTAGTTAAAAATATCTTCAGCTTCAATCCACTTAACTCACTCTAGATGATGAAGTAAATATTTTGATTTGGCCTTTTGACAGATCTGGATTGAAACCGTTTATCTTGGTACCTAATTATACCTGATAAAGGCAACAGAAGTAGCAAAGGTTTTGAAATTTGACGAAATTATAATTGCTGTGAAGAGAACGCAAAAAAATACTGTCTTCCCTGATGAAACTGCTAGTTACAACCACGAAAAAGCATCAAAAAACTTTGGGTGTAATGTCATCAATGTTGCACTCGACAATCTGACTGTTAAAATGAGATCAAGATTTAAAGTTACATAAGAGAAAATTAACAAGTTTTTATTCCTTTAATCTTTACTGAAATCTCAAACAGACAAAAATCTAGGTTTAAAAGCTGAGAATCTGGCAAAACGTTACCCAGAAGACGTATGTAAATACGAATTTTCTGATAAAGTTTTTTATTTTTCGTAAGTAGAAAAAAAAATTTCATCAGTGTTGTGCTACTTGATCATTTCAATTGAATCAGATTTAGCCAATAACTTTTCTTATGAAGTTGTTATTTTTGCCGCTACGTAGGCCAAGAAGTTCGATAATAAGACTAGTAACATAGTTTGTTTTTAAAAACCAAAACTAATTAAATGTAATTTTAGGTTTTCTGTGAAAGTAAACCAAAAAAGCTATACTAATTTACTTGGTATTTTTCATTTTAAGTTCTTAAGTTTAATAGGGCATCCATTAAACTTTTGGACCCGGGCATCACAAAAGCTCTGGGCAGGACTGTATATATATATATATATATATATATATATATATATATATATATATATATATATATATATATATATATATATATATATATATATATATATATATATATATATTTAATTTATATTTACGCTTAAATTTATATTAGCATACTTAAATTAAGTTAATTTTATATACTTTAAATTTTTGTATTTATCTTTACTTTAAAGATTATTTTTACAATAGTTTGTTTTATTTTTATGTCAAGTTGGATAAAAAATTTCTAGACTAATAGAAAAATATTGTCGGCGGGAAAAAAAACGCTCTATCAAGCCTTGTTTCGAAATTGACGCTGAAAATTTAAAAAAGTTAAAACCTGCAAACTGCTAAAATATTTTTTTCTATACTTTTTTTAAATTTATCCTGGCTCAAATTTACTTTTATACAAATGAGTAAATTCTAAACTAATGTGGAAGCTAAACCTCAAAAACTGATAAAATAAGAAACACTTACATTGTCTGAACCTGTAAAACTTAATTGAAATACTTAATCTTAAATTAACTCTCCAACAAAATAAATTTAAAAAAACAATTAAAATAAACATTAGGATTCAGGTATTTTTCTTAGTAATTAGATCGATGATTTAAATTCACTCATAAAAGAAATTACAAATCTAAATAATAAAATAAAGATTTACCAAAAAATACAACCTACTTACAACAATATTACTTAAAAAAATATTAACATTAAAAAAAAAGATTAATTTTAAATAAATAACTTGCATTATAATTAAAGAAGTTAATCTTTTTTTAAAAAAAATAATTATGTACATAGATTAGGAACTTTAAATAAGTTTATAAAACATTAAAAATTAAAATAAATTGGTAAGTATAAATAATATAGCTTTTAAAATCATAATTTATAAATAAAAGTTAAAAAACTTTCAAAAAATGCGGTTAACATAAAGACCATTGAGTATTAGAATAATATTAAAACTTTAAAATACAACTTATACTTCAAAATAAAAATACATATAAACTATGATTAAACATAAACATTGAAACTATTTGGCAGGACTTAAAGCATCAAGCACTTTATCAATGTTACAATCTTTAGAAATTAACAACTGACGCAACCACCCGCCTTCATTCTCAAAACCCATCGCTTCCATTTGTCTAAGAGATCTTTCAAGCTTTGATTCTTCATGATCTTTACTTTCTTTATCAACAAGTTCAAAATCATTGGCTATGTTTATTGGTGGCTAGAGATTTTTAAAAAATAATTAATTTACTAAATTTAAATTGTTTTTAAATGTAAACACTTTAAAAGACTAAAATTAAAGCAAAAGAGCATAATTTTACAAATAAAATATATTACAATAAAATGAAACAAAAGCACATAAATACACTTACTTTTTGAGTTACAAGGTGGCTAAATAAGCGTCCTATAAAATTCCCAAGCCCCTCTTGTGAACTATCAACCTGCAACTCAGAGGTTTGTTGACACAAAGACTCAAGCGGATTTATTTGTTCTTTTATAACTTCAGAAACATTGTTTGGATCTAGATGTGGTACGGATTCAACATTAGTCTGACACAATGAGTTTGAAGGATTTACAAGATCCTTGTCTTTATTGATGAGCTGGTTTTCTAATGATACATCTTTTTTATCTGGAAAATTAGCCTGGTTCATGTCTCCGTTATTTCTGAATACTTCATTGTTTGAACTATTTATATCTTTATCACTATTTCTTTCATTGCTTTTAAGATTGCACTGTTTTATAAAACAATCAACCAAAGTATGCATTTGTTCAGCAGGTACCCCAAACCTCTCATTTATAACTTTTGTTAAACTATCTAACTTTTTACTAAAATCTTCTTTATTCTCAACTTTATCAGACTTTTCTTGACAACTTTTCATAAAGAAGTCATTGTTAATACCCAGCATTGATTCAAATATTTTGATTATTTCTTTGAAATTATTCATTTTTTCAAATTGAAAACTATCAAACTTTTGATCAGATGCAGTAGGTTTATTTTCTTCATTATTGCTTGCATTTTTATTAGAACAAGAATTGTTCGTGTTCATATGCGCATATCTTTCCCAGCAATGTGAAAACGGAAGCTGACTGTAATACATATGCTTAGAAGATCGAGGTTCTTTGATAACCAGCATTTCATGGTCTGATGGGTGCTCTCCTTTTTTGTAGCATAATGAGCACAAATCAAAGTCAAAACATTGAGTGCATTTGAAGCGATTTCCATATATCTTAGAATTACATCCATCACAACTAACTCCAATATGTTCTTTATTTGATTGAGCTGGCTTTGTCAATTTCTCTAAAAAAAAAGATGATTTTTTTTTCAAAGTACTTTTACATATAAAAATATGGTTTGTAATAAATTTTGAAAAATCATAACAAATTTCTTTACTTTTTACATAGAGCTTAAGGCAACCATTGTTGATGCTCTCAAAGGCTTGCTGGAATTCAATATCAGAGGAGATTGAAATGAAATCATTTTCTTCATCTAAATTCGCCAAAAAACAATTTAAAGAAAATATGATTTTTAAAAAATGAAATCTATTTACAAATTTTATTGATGTGTGTATACAAAAATCCTATTTAATTATTATATAGTAATTTTATATAGAATTGTTTTCATTAAACTTTGGTTTAAAGCAAAATTGATTCAGGATACAATTTTTTTATTTTTATTTTATAAAAATATAACATTATTATAAAAGTGTCTACATTTAGCACAAAAACTTATCAAAAACATTTATGTTGCATATATCGCATATAAACGTTATGATATTATATCTGCGTTAAATTGAATTTATCTACTTCAGTTTAAAAACAGCTATACCTTTATAAAACAAATCAAGATCTTTTTCATACAAATTTGTAAATACTTGGCGGATCTTATCCAAAATGTATTTGTAATTAGCAGCCATTCGATTTTCTACTGAAAACTTTCGAATTTCATTATTATGTTGATTCTCGACATAATAAACTTTCACGTGTACTTCTTTTTCAAATAAAGACATCTTTAAACTTATTCTCCAGCAGACAAAGTTGAATCTAACTTAGTTGTTGTATTTTGCTTCATTTTATAAGAGCCTTTTATATAACTATGTAAACCCTTAGTCATGATTACTTTGCTTTTTTTTTTATTTAATCGATTCACTTTTTTTCTTTTTTCTGGTAAATTAACATAATCGCGATGACTTGCAAAAAAACAACAACAAAAGATTTTTTTGCTTTAATATGGTTTTTTGAAGAACTAGCTATAGCACAATGACGTAGACAATGACGTAATGGTTTTGTAAAATGACTTTTTTCAGCTAATAAAAGACGTCTTTTTAATGTATAAAAAGCGTTTAATACGACTAAAAGACATATTTAAGATATCTTCTTAAAACTAAATGTTTGTAAATTTTTAAGATTTACAACTTCAGATTTTCGTACATTTTTAAATGCCAGAATATCTAAATCTTTAAACTCCGACATTTTTAAATTGGCATTTAAAAATGTCGGAAAACTTAAAGTTATTATTATTATTTTTTTTAATTTAATTTTATTTTGCCGTTTATGTAAATTACAATTTCCTTTCACCAAAAATAAAATATAATTACAAATGTACAAGAATAAACAGTCAGGGGCTCAAAGAAGATATGGATTGCAAAATACCAACCTAATCGTTTTATAGAGCACCTACAGATCATAACAATAATAAATCAAGTAGAAAATTTAGGAAAAAAAAAAGAAATAGTAAAAAAGAAGATGCAATATTTTAGAATAAAAATAGAGAAAAAAGATGATGCATCAATTGAAAGTAAAAACACCCTCAATTAGTCAAAAAAGAAGATATAATATTTAAAAATACATATAGTGAATAAAGAACATATAGTAATATAATATATATATATATATATATATATATATATATATATATATATATATATATATATATATATATATATATATAGTTAAAAAGATATAATATTAATAAATACTAATAGTCACAAAAATTTATAAAAGAATATATTTAAATACAAATTTCCAATTAAATATATGATATTATATTCAACATAAAATATATAAAGATTACATATAATATTTAAAAATACAAACTGTTAAATAATCAGATTAAATGCTAAAAAAAAATTTTGAGTAAACAAAAATAAAAATTAATCCGTAAGATTTAGAACGTAAGTTTTTGTTTGAAACTGAAATGAAGTTAAAGATTTTGCCATATTTAAATTGTCTTTCAGAAAAGAGTTCCATAGCTTGGGACCTCTATAAGTTATACTATATTCTGTGTATTTGTTTACTTTTTTAGGTAATTTATATGTGTTACTTTGATTTATTCTTAAGAAATACTTCTCATTTAAATTTTTATTAAATTTACTTATTAAGATTTCAGGAGTTAGATTATTGGTATATTTATTCATAAAGTTTAGGTGTTAGAAAATATTTATTTGATATATGTTCATCATTTTCATATCCATCATTAAAGGTTTAGTGTGGTCCCCCCTTTTTTTGTTGTATATAATTCTACAAGCATGTTTTGTAAGGAAAGAATTTTTTTAAGTTTTGTTGGTAGACAACTTGCCCACGTAATATTTGCATAAGTAATGTAACAATGAATTAAGCTGAAGTATATAAGCTTTAGACTATGTGAATTTAAGTATGGGCGAGTTCGATACATAATACTAATGGTTCTACTAATTTTTGATTGTATATATTTTATGTGTGGGAGCCATGATAAATGATCATCCACAATAACTCCTAAAAACTTTATAGTATCTTGTTTTTTAATTTGTTTATAATTTATAATAAGTTTTGGCAGTTTTAGAGGAAGGTTTTCTTCTTGTGTTTTTTTATGAAACAAGGTATATTGTGTTTTTTCAACGTTAAGAGAAAGTTTATTTGACCTGAACTAATCATTTACTTTTTCTAATTCAATGTTCATGTCAGCATAAAGTTGATTAATATTGCAGTTAGATAAAAATAGATTTGTATCGTCTGCAAACATGATAGCATTTAGTTTTAATGATGCTTTAATAAAATCATTAACATAAATTAAAAATAAGAGCGGTCCTAGGATCAATCCTTGAGGCACTCCACACAGAATATTCAGTATTTCCAGATTTCTTGTTTTGAACATGCTGTTTTCTATTAGATAGATAACTTTTTATCCAATGATATAATTTATTGCATAACCCGTAACATTTTAGTTTTTCTAACAGAATAGAATGATCAACGGTGTCGAGTGCCTTGGATAAATCTATGAATACTCTGAGAGTAAACTTATCACTTTCAAAACCATCAGTTATTTGGTCGACTAATTCAATAATGGCATGTTCTGTTGAATGTTTTTTTTGAAATCCGAATTGTTTTGGATTAAAAAATTTATTTTTTGTAAAATAATCAAATATTCTATTATTTAGAATTTTCTATAATAATCAAATATTCTATTATTTATTCTATTATAAATATTCTATTGCGTTATTACAATTTCACATTTTAATGTGCCTTGACTTGTACTGCAACTAAGATATTTATTGGGACTTATACTAAGATTACATTAATACCATTTAACTAATACTGTGATGATTAAATTTTTTGTTTTAATCAATAAAAATTAAGATCATTAAGGTTCTTGGCAAGGCGGGCGCGTAGGGGAGGGGGTGACACCCCCCACTAATGATATTTAGTCGGCGAATTTGACCCTTAGTCGGCAAATTTGACCCTTTTCGACTAGTTAGTCGGCAAATGTCGACCTTTTTGATATAGGTTAGTCGGTAGTTTAGACAGCTAGTCGGCAAATTGCGACGTTAGAACTATCTTGTTCTATCTCCACTTTCTGAAAAAATTGAATTAAGGATAGTGTTGTTTTCCTCAAAACAATATCTTTCTACTGAATTGAAACCTAAGTTATAAGTAAAAAAGTTACAAAAAAACATTAGTTATAAAAAAAAATTTATACGCCGTCTCCTAAAGTTTTTGTTTTTTAAATCGTTTTATCTCAAAAAAAAAATGTGGAGATAGAACAAGATAATTCTTTTTTAAGTCGGCAAAAGTTGTAATGGTACCCCCCCCCACGTGACACCTACTCGCGCCGGCCCTGGTTCTTGGTGTTGTTAAAAATTTAAGTCACGGGTACAGAGAGCACATTTACATTCAACTCCCACTCTCTGTAACAAACTTTAAAGCTTAAAAGTTAAATACCCTATCTTTACTGCATAACATGCAAACTTTCCTCTCGTTTATTTCTGACAATACTATTTAACACGAATAGTATTTATATAGATATATTTTTAATTTATTGTTTAGGAACCCCAAGAAGACCTAACGGTCTTGTCACAGAGCACCGTGGAAGTGCATTTAACCAGGACGTTCACGCCTCTTTCTTTACCGTATTTTCAGATCTCGTTTCGAACCTCGATCTCCTGCTTCTTTTTTTTAAAGCTAGCGCTCTAACCACTGCGCTACGGCCGCTAACCACTGCGCCACTGCCACTGTATATGTGTGTTATATTACTGAATTTATAGAACGTGTATATTTACTATTATGTCTTAATTTTTATACTCAACTTGGATGTTGAACATGAAAAAGGAGTATGAGTTTTCTCTCCCTCCCCACCATAAATAAAAAAGTTTTAATTTAGAAGCCCTTTTGTCAATTTAAGGAGCTTTTTTTTTTTAGCAAAAATTTATGTATCTTTTACTGGTCACAGTCACTATCAACGTTTTGCAAATACATGGTTATAGATATAGATTACTTGCTACGGTTTATGCAGTTTTGTAAAATTGTTTTATTAATTGTTTTTTCTTCATTTTTTGTTCTATTTTCAATATATCAATGAGTTCTACAAGCAAAGAGAATGATAATGAAAATGTTCCTAAAATGAGAAAAAATTAATTAAAGCATCGAAGAAACGTCATCGTCATATAAAAATAAAGTAGAACATTAAAGAAACGTCATCGTCATATAAAAATAAAGTAGAACATTGAAGAAACGTCATCGAAAGCTCTAAAGTACTTGAGGGTGACCACATTAACTGGAAAGAGCGTTACATGTTATCTAGAACGGAAAGTGCTGCTTGGTTTTGGAAGTTATAATGTTTTATTAAGTTAAACTATGATGAAAATTTGAATTTGTTGATTTGTTAAGCTTTTCGTTTATTTTTCACTAAAGTATAAAACTTATGTCAGCATATTAAATCCTATTGAAATTATAATAAAACAGTTGTTAGAAAATGCGCATTTGACTGCAAGCCAAAATTAATTAGTTTTATGCTTATTTTGTAAAAAGTATTAGCTTGGATTTATAAACTGAAATTTATTATAAAAAATACTTATGTAGTAACATAAAAAAATGCCCACCCACCTTCCTATTATTACCCGAACTACCCCCTTCCCTCCTTTTTATTTATTTAGATCTGGAATTAAATTCCTCCCCCCCCCTCCTTTTATTCCCACCCACTTCACCCTATCCCTCCTTGTTTAAAGAACTCGAGAGTAACGAGCAAAGAATGCCCGTTATATAGAATGATTCGTAATGATGTTATACATCATGTTATATCATATATCAAGTTTGAAACTGTGTGTTAGTAAAAAATGATCAAAGCTGGTAGGTAGAAGTACGCAGAACTAATCGTCAGAGATTTCAAAAGCTAAACGCTTACATACATATATAAGAAGCAAACAGAGCGTCAGTAACAACATTGCATTGCTTGAAACAGTCAATAGCAACATCACAACCGATACCAGTGATATATGCGCATCATTAAATAACTATTTTCAATCATTCTTTGTTTTAGAGCCCGAAGGTTCAATGTCAGGATTTGAAATTTGTACAGAAGCAGTTTGTGTCATTGATCCAGCAATTTTCTCTATCGACATAGTACAAAGATTCCTAAACAGCCTTGATGATAGAAAATCAACCGGCTACGGGCTTACATCCGGCTACGATGGCTTACATCCTTAGTAAATATTCAGCTACCTTTGCCAAGCCTCTTTCGCTTATATATAAATGCTCGTTTGCAACTGGTGTAGTTCCTGACTTGTGGAAAAAATTGAATGTAACACTTATTTTCAAAAAGAGGAGTAGGCTAAAAGCATCCAACTACCGGCCAGTTTCGCTCACTTCCATACCTTGCGAAATTATGGAAAGCATTTTACAAAAAAGATAAATGGAATACTGTGTTGCTAATGATATAATTTCT